ATTTAGACTGAAGAGAAAAGAAGCCTGTGCAAACATGTATTGAGTGTCCCCTACGGATTTACTGTGGTTGTTCCGAGGCTCTTCTTTCGGGAATTTATGTTATACGAACGTTCACAAACTATATGTTATTACTGTTTTTATTACTTTGTTCGGGATCTTCTCATCATACATGAAGCCCTTGCATGCTGTGGTTATCGCCACGGCTGCCCCACCCCCCTGCCAAATATCCAAAAAGTACCATTCTTCCTCTTCCCTCTCCCCTCCCCGTCGCCTGGAGGCATCACCCTCGTGTTTAATTGTGCATTTTCCATGCGGTGCATTCTGGCAACGCCGGGTGAACACAATGGTGGTTCATTAGCACATAGTTCCCTCTCCTTTGTTGTTTGCGAGGCGTGGCGCGGCGCTGCGCGGGCCAGCTGTCGTCCCTCTGCTCCCCCGCCCCTGAGCGTTGGGACAAAACTTGTTATTTGGGGGGTTCTTTGCATGAATACTGACCTCCCCCAAGCCCACGCCTGCAGGGCACGTCCCTGTGGGGGAGGAAGATGGCGCGGTCTGGCAGGGGAGCCACCTTCTTGACGTGATGCAATTTACAACGTTCTCCTTTTACCCATTTCTCCTTTTCAAGATGTCTAAAGTGAGTAAATTGCATATTTCTGTTTGACAGTAAAGGAAAGGTTGAAATAATGAACGTAATAATGGCATCTTTGCGAGGCGTTTAAGTAAAACTAGTAAAAGGATTAGACCTCACAGCAGTAGTGCACATGTCTAGTTAACCACATCGCATTCCAATACTCCATGTCTGTACGATTTGTTTTTGAAGTTTTCAGAATTAGCAAGTTTTCGAGTTTAAATAAGAATTGAGTGTTGCAAGAATTAGACAAGTGTGTCCCACTATGTGTCGGGATAATGTTTTCCATTAATGAATAGCGATGACGTCGACAAAATAGGGAGCCAATATGTTCACAGGTGGCAGGCAGGATTGCCAAGCGGGGCCGGGGTGGACAGTTGGCAACGCCCTTGTTCCCGCTACACCACAGATAGTTTTTCGTCCCGTCATAGACGGACGGTGAGTTTGGAGCAGCGGTCTGCGAGCAGCAGGCATTCCGTCGTGTGGGAGTTTGGTCACGAGACTAGCGCCCCGCCGCCCGGCCGGGCTAGTCCACACCGGCCCCACACTATCGGGGAGCTGCGAGAAGGAGATATGGCCGGGCCGGGGACTCGCTCCGGCCGACAATGCGGGCGAGTTTGTGCGTGCTGATGATGAGCTCAGCAGGGCCGTGGGGACCGTGGGGCGGAGAGGAGAGGGGGGCGGGCCAGAAAGAAGGGAGGGAGGGGAGAGAAACAGAGATGGTTGGGTGGCGCGGGGGCGGCGTTGGACCAGGGCCGGGGAGACAAGATGTCTGGCTTTTCGTAGCGGAACGCACCGGCCGCGGGGGGAAGATAAATGGTGAAAAATGATCTGTGATGACGCGATCAGGATGACACAGCGTGAGCGGCAGGGAACTTTCTAAGGTGTGGGCGGTGTGGCGGTGAATACTTTCTGATACCTCTGGGAAAAAAATGTGGGGCCTCGGATTCAGACAAAAGGAAACAAGAGGGCAACGGTATCTCGATAACGTTAATTGCATTGCACGGCGCGATTATTAAACAGAATATTGAGTACTACACTGTTGGATTGTCAGCGAGTTTTAGCTCGAGACCGCGAGCAATAGTAAACCGCTAGATCGATCAATGACGAGGATGTAACGTGGTGGACACGGTGCAGTGGCCAGGCAAGAGTACTGACCGACAAACGAGTAAAATGTTCCGCTGAGGTGCTGCTCGGATTAGAGCGCAGAAACCGTCTGAAAACGCCTGTTTGTT